CTGTGGTTCATCATTATATTGTTTCTCCCTTCAATAACAATTCCTGCTACTAACACAATTGGCATTTTCTCTGAGATTTTCAAGCACAGAATGACATCCGGTCATTATAGATGGATTTGTCTGTTGGGACAAGAACACAGACCTGTCTCTTGTAAGACATGCTCTGTTGGGACAAGAACACAGACCTGTCTCTTGTAAGACATGTTCTGTTGGTACAAGAACACAGACCTGTCTCTTGTAAGACATGTTCTGTTGGTACAAGAACACAGGTCTCTTGTAAGACATGTTCTGTTGGTACAAGAACACAGGTCTCTTGTAAGACATGCTCTGCTGGGACAAGAACACAGGTCTCTTGTAAGACATGCTCTGGTGTGACAAGAACACAGGTCTCTTGTAAGACATGCTCTGCTAGAACAAGAACACATGTCTCTTGTAAGACATGTTCTGTTGGTACAAGAACACAGGTCTCTTGTAAGACATGCTCTGGTGTGACAAGAACACATGTCTCTTGTAAGACATGCTCTGCTGGGACAAGAACACAGAACTGTCTCTTGTAAGACATGCTCTGGTGTGACAAGAACACATGTCTCTTGTAAGACATGCTCTGCTGGGACAAGAACACAGGTCTCTTGTAAGACATGCTCTGCTGGGACAAGAACACAGGTCTCTTGTAAGACATGCTCTGCTGGGACAAGAACACATGTCTCTTGTAAGACATGCTCTGGTGTGACAAGAACACAGGTCTCTTGTAAGACATGCTCTGCTGGGACAATAACACATGTCTCTTGTAAGACACGCCAGTGGGTAGTCAGCCATCAGTGGTACAAACAATGAGGACAAGAAGGACCAGCCCATTCCCTTTCTGTTGAATCAAGTTAAAACAAGTCTTTGGTGCATGGGTACCGTTAAGTTATTGAAGTAATTAGGGCCGTCGTCATCGCCTAAACGTCACACTTCAAAATTCAATGGATGTAAAAATCTAAATGGCTGTCTGAATGTAAGTAATGTTTTAGTACATTACAATGACTACAGTCAGCTTAAGACATTACGAATAAAATATAATGCTATTGGGACATTCAGGCGGAATCAAAACAAGGAATCAAAGAAGCTTAGTTATGCTAGAGAGAGAAAGTGCAGGGATTGATAAGAAGATCGGGAGAAAGGGGAGAGAGAGATAAGGACAAGCATCAAGTGATGATAGAGAGAAAAATGACAAGAACAGGTATGGCAGGGAAATAAAAGATTAGCTCGCTGTCATGGCGTCGGATGCGAGACACAGCAATCATTGAATGATAACTTGTGTTAAATTAGCTGGCTGCTGATGGGATCAATAGTAGATGGTGGTGGGGTGTCGTTATGGTGGTAGATAGTGGTGTGGTGTCGTTATGGTGGTAGATAGTGGTGTGATGTCGTTATGGTGGTAGATAGTGGTGTGGTGTCGTTATGGTGGTAGATAGTGGTGTGGTGTCGTTATGGTGGTAGATAGTGGTGTGGTGTCGTTATGGTGGTAGATAGTGGTGTGGTGTCGTTATGGTGGTAGATAGTGGTGTGGTGTCGTTATGGTGGTAGATAGTGGTGTGATGTCGTTATGGTGGTAGATAGTGGCGTGATGTCGTTATGGTGGTACATAGTGGTGTGGTGTCGTTATGGTGGTAGATAGTGGTGTCGTTATGGTGGTAGATAGTGGTGTGGTGTAGTTATGGTGGTAGATAGTGGTGTCATTATGGTGGTAGATAGTGGTGTGGTGTCATTATGGTGGTAGATAGTGGTGTCATTATGGTGGTAGATAGTGGTGTGGTGTCGTTATGGTGGTAGATAGTGGTGATGGGACCATTATGTTGGTAGACTGATGGGACCATTATGTTGGTAGACTGATGGGACCATTATGTTGGTAGACTGATGGGACCATTATGTTGGTAGACTGATGGGACCATTATGTTGGTAGACTGATGGGACCATTATGTTGGTAGATAGTGGTGATGGGACCATTATGTTGGTAGATAGTGGTGATGGGACCATTATGTTGGTAGATAGTGGTGATGGGACCATTATGTTAGTAGACTGATGGGACCATTATGTTGGTAGATATTGGTGATGGGACCACTGTGTTGGCAGTTAATGGTATGGTGCCATTATGTTGGTAGATAGTAGTGATGGGACCATTACGTTGGCCGACTGATGGAACTATTACTTTAGTAGGTAGTTGTGATAATAAAAGTCATGAAGATATTTAATAGAGAAATAGGGTGGCGTTAAAGCGATCAGGTAAAGCGACAATGTTGATAAAACCATTGTATACATCTTCCGACATCGCTGATTGCTTAGCTTAAAGATTTTGATGGCGCGAACAAAGCCGGTCGGAGAAGTATCGTTAGCCAGCGTTAACAGAGCGGAAGTGGTCGATAGAAAGGTCTGCAAGATGTCAGGAACAAGTACTCTAGAGGACCCACTGGTCAACCAATGGCTATCTGATGACCAGATCTGCTAATGGATTTTGGTA